CTTTTGCTTGGATGTGTTGCTTCTGTAGAATTCATTTGTGGAGTATCAGTCATTTTCAATTTAGCATGAAACGTCAGGGAGTCGTTACTTTTGCTTGACGCCAACCTATTTTTGATTTTGCAGCCGTAGCAGGTCAGTTCTTGTCACACAAGGCTTCAGGAATTTTATCAATTGTATTCGATATTGGAGGTGTCTTAGGAGGGATTTCGGCTGGTTTTCTCTCGGATGCCATAGGTGCCCGTGCAATAACATCAGTTCTGTTCCTCTTTCTGTCAATCCCAGCACTCATTGTGTACCGGACATATGGAAGCATATCCATGCAGCACAACATTGGTCTCATGTTCCTCTCTGGTTACTTTGTGAATGGTCCATACTCTCTCATCACCACAGCTGTAGCAACTGATCTTGGCACCCAAGACGCGATCAAGGGAAATTCACGGGCGCTGGCGACAGTTTCTGCGATAATTGATGGCACTGGTTCTGTTGGTGCAGCTCTGGGCCCCTTGCTTACGGGTTACATCTCAACTAGAGGATGGAATAGTGTATTTTTCATGTTGATTGTTTCCATATCACTTGCCATCCTGTTTTTGATACGGCTGGCAAAGGATGAGATAGTAACCAAGCTTAGCACACGAAATTAATAAAGTAGTAATATATGTTGAATTGGGGATGCTTCAGATGTCAGATTGTAGGTACTTAGCAGGAGCTTAGTTAGGCCATTTCTTGCGTCATGTATTTAGATTGGTGGTTTGTTGTCACTAGTAGACATGCACATGTCTATAAAAAATACTAATAAGCAATAGAGGAATAGTTGCTTTTTTCAACAATGTTTCATCATCGTCCTCCCCTTGTCATGTTCATCTTCAGAAAACTGCAATGAGAAAATAGATGCATTTAAATTTGTGAAAATATAAAGTTTCATATTAAAAACTCTAATGCAAATCCCTCTCTGCTCAATGCAAAGGCATATTTATAGTGTAGAGTATAAAATTCATTTTAAAACTTGTGATCATTCGGTACAAAATATTTAAATTGCTTCTTAGTTTCAAGATGGTCAAATCCTATAAACAGGCCTAGAGCAATTTTAACTATTGCATCAAGAAAACTCTGCAACCAAATACCTAGAAATGCTTCGCCACCGGTTAGACTACCAAACTATAATCTACTCCTTAATTTCAAATTATAAGAGTTTTAGCTTTTTTAGATATATTATTTGTACTATATATCTAGACATAATGTATATCTAAATGCATAGCAAAAACTATGTATAATAGAAAAACAAAAACGTCTTATAATTTGGAATGGAGGGAGTATATGAAATCGATTCTTTCCAATTGCAATAGTTGAGCAACCTATCAACCCAACCATCATTTCCCAATCATCAAAGGGGGTGACAAATTAGTGCGGGAGGGGCCATCGAGCGTGCAAGAAGCCCCGGTAGTGAGCGACGCTGGTTATCCAATAGTGCGACCTAAGTTTCTAGGATACAGAGCGATCAAATTTGGAGAGGAAACATCGAAGATGTTTTTTTTGCCCAATAATAGTTATATTTAATTTTACAAAATGTTTTAGCTAGACACTTGGAGTTGCTCTTAGCAGGTTAGCTCAAGTGGCTGGTAATGATGCTGAGACGTCCTAGTAGTATAAGACCGGAACTTAGCCATGACCCGGCTACTGGATATGAGGAAACAGGAGGGATCGAAGGCCGATCCCTACTGAAATATATTAAAAGCATAAACAACAAGAGTACACGACAGACAAGAGGGTTCAAGAAACAAAAAAGGAAGGAAAGAAAATGAGGCAAATTACACAAGCTGCTCTAGTCATTCAGAAATAAGGGGGAAGTGCTTCTTTTTCGCACGCAGGATAACCCACCCGAAGACTTCTTTGAAGCCATGTTTGCAGCGATGAAGCGAGACTGCTTCTCCTCTGAAGATGAGACTGGTTCTGACTGACCGAATGCTCCAGCACATAAGGTTCCAGCAACCATTTCCTCGCAGGAGTCATTGTAGAGAACACTGCATATTCTTTCTTCTCAGGATGTTTCTTGTGCTAAGCCTATCTTGAACAAGCAACCAAAAGAAGACTTTGATATGGAAACCTTGGAGGATAAAACAGTGTAGACACTTGATGTATCACAAGGACTTTGATATGACATGGCTATAAATCCACGGATAGATATCTACATGATATAAATAGCTAGATAGTGTATGGTGATAATAATCAGCATCACATTGCTTAGGAAACCATAGACACATATTATAGTAACTCTTTTCCTTCAAGATAATACAAGAAATAAGCATTGCCATTCACTGATACGTGGGGCTATTATCCGAACAGAGGGCTGAACCAGGATAAAATCCTTGTTTGTTCTTTTATTGCTGACCTTCATTGATATGTGGATTTCTACCAAACCACAATTTCTGCTGAAACAAAGCATTGACATTTATAATGTCATGTCACTTCTGTAACTAATAAGGAAACTTACTCGTTGGATCATGTGAAATACATCAAACCCATGGATTTTGACGGCAATCAAGTTCTCTGACAATTACACTACAACTACGAAAGACTTTATTTTTGGAGCCATTAGTGCTAGATTATTGCAATATTTTGCATTATTAGTGCTAGATTATGAATTGAGAAGTAAAGAGATACTCCATAGATATAAAAAATGAATGACCCATGAATTTGTTAGTTGAGGGCGTGTTCCTAAGATATCAAAATTAATTTAGTCATATCCATGTTGCCTGCATGTTGGTTCAACGATTCCTGATTATTAATTTTCTTCATAGCTCAAGTTTGATGCATTATTCATAGTTATTCAAGATTTCTAAGCATTTATTTTTGCTATGTACAACTCTGTTTTAAGGAAAAAGTCCAAATTACTCCCCTCAAGTTTGACATATGTCCATATTACCCCCTAAACTTACATTTGGTTCAATTTACTCCCTCCAAGGTCTAGTTTACCCCTTAACATGATTTGTTAGTTTTGTTTTTCCACGTATTAGTTTAGTCTTAATATCAACTTTTATGATATGACAGAGAACATCATAAGTTATGTTAGAAAAATATATCTTAACTTTTTACCACTATTTTGATAGCTTAGGACATTTAATAATAAATTAACACTAGAGATACAATATCGTATAAACACATAATGATGAAAAATTCATAGTGCATTTTTCTAACACAAAACAATGTCCTCTATCACCTCACAAAATTTGAAACTAAAATATAATTTGTACATAGAGAAACAAAAAAAGAAAAATCTCTTTAAGGTGTTGGTTGGACCAACTTAAATAGTTGGAGGGAGTAAATTGAACCAAATGTTAGTTTAGGGGGTTATTTGGACATAGGCTAGACTTGGAGGGAGTAATATGGACTTTTTCCTTGTTTTAATGCAATACTATGGATTTGATTGAGGATACTTGACATTAATATGCACTCCGGCTCTACATCATGTGTCCTATAAATAGAAGTGCACAGTGCAAACATGACTCACAACATAAGCTATATATGTGCTAGAAAAGAAGTTATAATTGGTCCTTATATCATCAACGCTAGCTGTAGTGGTACATGATGTCTCCAAAAGTAATGCTTCAACTCCTGGTTTTTTCTTTAGTCTTTACCATGTTTACGGCTTATCGAGCTTTGGGTGAGAAAGACTGTTATCATGAGAGGGATTTGGTTAAGCATGAGTGCATCAAAACCATCCTAATTAATGAGCCCTACAAACCTCCAATCCCTGAGTGCGTTCGTGCCATCAAGCTATCTGACATTGTTTGCATTTGCCATATTCTCACCCCTGCAGACGAGAGCGAAATAAGCGTACGTAAGCTTCTTCGTCTTGCAGGGGAGTACAACAGACCAGTGCCGCCAGCGGGAAGTAAATGTGGAGTACAATATCGATGTGAAATCTGATATGAATTTTTTTCCTCAGCTCAAACCGTTGGACATTGACTATATATCCCTCACTACCAAGGGCAGATCTGTGGGACTTCATGATACAGAAACCCAAGGAAGAATAAAAAAAATAACCCTGTACTTTGTGTGCTTTCATGCCATGCTTTATTCATGGCAAAGTAATGAATAAAAATGTCATAAGTATTTCTACTTTATAGGTGGATGCAGATTGGTCGAGCAAAATATGTCACTTTGCCTTTTCACAAGTCAAATGTTTTTAATTTTGACCGAATTTATCAAAAAAAAGCACATAACATCTAAACATAAAAATTAATTCCATAACCACCATAAATATATTTTGAAAGTGTATTAATTTGGTATTATATATGTTAATTTTTTTAACACGATTAAAACTTTGACTTAGAACAAATCTAAAGTAGCATATAATTTGCAACACGGAAAATAGATGTTAGACGCAATTTGTTGTGAAATGACGCCTGTTGCCAACAGGCACCTTTTCAAGTGATGATCTCATCCATTCACAGAAGCAGTTAGAGATCGGATTAGTTAGTTAACCATGTCTCTGATGGGACATGTCCATTCATTCAACTGTTGTCTCTTCCCAAACTATTCTCTTTCCAATAGGTGTCTGTTCAAGACACACATTCATATGTATAAATATATTTTAGAGATCAATGAACACAATTGAGAAAGTTGGTTACTGTGTTGTGCATCTTGCTTTACTCTGGATTACTATTTATGGATCACTGGTAGTGCAAACCAACCAGACCACAAGGGTGAACTTGTTGAACTGGATCAGGCATCAGGGTAAAACTGAAATTGCAAAACTATTTTTCAATGAATTAAAAGTTACAAGATTTCAAAACCCCAAAATAACAGACTATCACTTCTTTCAAAACTTTGGAAGATAGTTTTACTAGAACTCAAGTGCCCAAGATATTTCACTGTAGAAGTTTTCTTTGATGATGAATAACCAGCAGGTCCCATGTTTATAGACCACGCTACAGTACTACTAATCGAACTCGCCAACCCTTAACGTTGAACCCAAACGACCACTAAAACACTGAGGAGCTTCACATCCAAAGCACCCCAGGAAGAGATGGACAGCGATCGGTGCCTCCGCGCGCAATGTACGTGCGACTCCACAGGTTCACCCTGCACAGCTTCCTCCTCCGACCAGATCCGGACGCCTTGTCCGCGCACGCGCGCTCCAGCGCGGCGGCCACCCATCTCGCGTTCATCCCGCGTTCCCGGCGCCGACGACGACGCCTCCTCTCCACCAGTGTCACCGGCATCTCGGAGTCGATCACCCTGAACACCGTCACGGTGACAGGACAGCCGTCAGCTCCTATGCCGTCGGCTTGCACGACGCAGAACATGCTTCTCCCGAGGTAGACTAGCTTGGCGCTCCGCGTCGCCCCGCCGCGCGCGCGCGGCGTGATCACCGGTATGGGGTCCGACACCCGGTGCGTCTTCTGCTCCAGTCTGGGAGCAACGACAGAGCCCAGGACGACGTCGAGTTCGTGCGCGCGCAGACGCCCGTCGTTCGGCGACACCTCGAACCACAGGTCGTGGTCCTTGGCGTACACGGCGCGCTCTTCCCACGGCAGCCGCGCCGACCCGGGCAGCGCGATCCACGCCGCTCCGCCCCGGCGGCGGCCGTCGAGGAGGAACGTCTCGCCTTTCTCCGTCGAGGCTAGGAGGCCGCGGCGCAGCGGGTACGCGGCGAGCGTCAGGATGCGGTCGCGGAACGGAGGCCGCGGCAGGGATGTCCACCCGACGCGCGCGTCTCTCGCCGCCGCCGCCGCCGAGCGAAGGACGACGCACCGCGGATCCTCGGTGAGCATGTCAGCGGCGTAGATCTTGCCGGAGACCTCGACGAGGCCGTACTCGGTCGACGGTGGCGGAGGGCCGGTGGACACTTCCCACGTGCTCGCGTCGATGATGACGCTCTCGGCTTCGACGACGCCGGCGTTCCTGTCAGTGACGCCCACGACCGTCGATCTGGCCTTGAGAAAAGCCATGCCCGGAGCCGCCTTGAAGCGCAAAACGGGCGGTTCTTCGAATTCTTCGCTGGAGACCGAGATGCCGTGCTGGGAGCGCGCCAAGTCGACGCGGTGCACGGCGTACGCGGAGACAACGCCGTGGCCGTGGCCTTGGCCGTGCTCCTGCATGACTAGATAAAGCGCCTTCTTCCTCTTGCGGCCACCGTCGTCGTGGACGCGCTCCGTAGGCGATGGGGGTTCGTCGGCCGGCTCCGGCGACGTACTCGACCGGAACAAGGTCGGCTGAGACGGCGGTGGTGTCCCGGGCCGCGGGACCACCGAAGACCACCGTGAGGCCGCCTGGCCGCGCAGCCTACCGGACCGCCTGGCAGCGATAACGCCGATAAGGCCAACCTTGGGCACGGAAGGCGATCTCCCCGTCGGCCACGGGAGCTGGCGCTTCGCCGGCGGTGCAGGTGGCTCACTTGACCTAGATCGTGACCGCTTCAGCGCCATCACGCCTTGCGCGAACTTGGTTGTTGAATGTTATACGATCTTGGTGCCGATTTTTACCTTCCAAGGGGACCCGTGCGGTGTGGGTGTGGCGTGATGGAAAGCGGGGCGGATCCGGACGACATATTATTGAGGGGCATGCTAGAGCTAGTTAACAGTTGTAACTAAAAATTAATCTTAATTAGTTAGGGTTAGCTGTGTTAGATAATTAGGTGGTCAATTTAATCCAGAAATAAAACATCAGTAGATTCGTGACGACATATATGTGTATGTATAAATCACTAACAAACGCTACAGCATACAAGTATGACATATCGAACGATACAGTAAGTACGCAAAGTACGGTACTCAGAGAGTTAAGAGTGTACCCAACAGAGAGTCCCATGCCGAGGGCATCGGAGGCTCCATTCGCGTCAGACATAGTGCGTTGCTCGAAGCATGGACCACAGTCGATACAGAAAGGTGTTCATAGTGCAGTCCCACGATTGGTCACCAGGAAGAAGACACATTGCTATTCCGCGAACGATCACTAGGAAGAAGACGTCTGCGACGTGGACGAGCAGTCGTGGAATCACTCCCCAAAAACCTAATCGCCGCACACTCCGTGCAAGGTTCGCAGGCAGACAAGGGTTCCAGAGACACCTGCTCTCCCGTTGCTCCGTGCGCGCAGAGGTACGCGACGGGGAAAACCAAAGGGCGGCTGAGATGTGGTCTCTCGGAAGCAAAGGGGAGATTGGACTGACGGAGGACTTCTACTTTTATGCCTGCGGTGGGGAGGGAGAAAGCCAGCCGAGGAACTCATGAGACGCAGACACGAAGAGACGATAACTGGTGCAATCAACTCGCCTCCACTATAAAAGAGAGAAGCTCCCGTAATTATGTGGATTAAGTGGCAAAATCTGGTCACGCCCGCCCGTCCGCTCGTTGCATGCCTGCCACGCCCACGGCCTCGGCTCGGCCCGGCCGACGGTGGCGGCGCACGCGTGTGGCACTCATGTGTCCTTTTCTTAGCTTCTCAATTAAGATGGATAATTTCCAACCAAATAAATTGAGTCAACGTTCAGTCAAAATCCCGTACGGTATTAAACCATACAACAATTAATGTTACGGACCATAGAGTTTTATTTGATTTATTAAATATTATATGTGCTAAGCCCATAATATATCCAACAATCCCAACTAAACTCTAGTGTTTATAACAAAGTAGTCTCAGAACCACATTTCTTTTATATACCAGTGTTTCGATGGAGACGGTTAAGTTGAACATTCATCTAGTGCAATAGTTTTACTCAGTCACAACTGAATAATGGACTAAGCCTTGAATTGACAGTTTTGTGTGAGGTGAATGTCACTAAAGTCCTTAGCTGATACTAGGCTGCAAAAGACATCCCCTCTATTTGAAGCATATAAGTCATACTCCAGTGCCTTTCATGAGTATTTAGAGATCACCCAAATCTTATAGACTATGACCAGCAGTCTGACTCATATAAGTGTGTTCCTCAAAAGATATTCTGTAGGACAACATATTTGCTTTAGCAAGCCACTTGGAACACATTAAGATAAAAATCAACCTTCCTTACAGAAATGAAAGATATTCATTAGAAATGAGTCTTACTAAGCATCTTTCCTCGTAATTTACTAATAGCTTGTTTCACCATCCTACTTCACGGGATCTCCGATCACATAGAACATGTTACCACTATAGTAAATTTTATGTGGTCTCAAACTCATCTCTCTCGATACACTTTCTATCACATTGCGTGACAGACCCTTAGTGAATTGATCTACCAGATTGTTAGACGTGTGAACATAATTCAACGCTATTACTCCGGAGTTTCTCAATTTTCTGATAGATTTTAGTCGTCTCTTAACATGTCTTGTGGACTTCATGTTATCCTTAGAACTGTTAACCTTCGTAATCATAGTCTGATTATCACAGTTCATAGAAATAGCCGGTATGGGTTTTTCAATAACCGGTAAATCCATAAGGAGATCACGAAGCCACTCGGTCTCAGAGCTAGCGATGTCTAATGCTGTGAATTCTACTTCTATTGTAGACTTCATTAAGATAGTCTGCTTGCAAGACTTCCAAGAAACAGCACCACCTCCAAGCGAAAACACATATCCTCTTGTGGCATAAAGCTCATCAGCATCAGAGATCTAGTTGGCATCACAATAGCCTTCCAGCACCTTCGGGTGTCCGGTATAACGAATACCATAGCTTATAGTGCCTTTTAGATAGCGCATCACTCTCTCAAGAGCACGCCAATAATCATCTTCCGGGTTTGACACAAACCGTCTTAGCTTGCACACAACAAATGAGATGTCAGGCCTTGTTGCACTAGCAAGATACATGAGCGAACCAATGATCTGGGAATATCTCAATTGATCCCTTGCTATTCTCCGATTTTTCTTCAATATCACACTAGGGTCATAAAGTGTAGGAGCAGGTTCACAGTCACTAAACCTAAAATGACTCAGCACCTTTTTCACATAGTGGGATTGTAACAGAGTTACCCCACCATCATCTTCTCTCAGAAGCTTGATATTAAGAATAACACCAGCTTTTCCCAAATCTTTTATTTTAAAATTATTAGATAAAAATTCCTTCACATCCTCATTCACTTTGAGGCTGGATCCAAAGATTAATATGTCATCAACATATAACCACAAAATAACTCCTTCACCCCCACCATACCGATAGTACACACATTTATCAGCTTTATTCACAACAAAGCCAGCAGATGTTAGAGTTCTGTCGAACTTCTCATGCCACTGCTTAGGAGCTTGTTTTAGTCCATATAATGACTTTAATAATTTACACACATTCCCTTCTTAACTATTTGCTACAAACCCATCCGGCTGATCCATATAGATCTCCTCCTCTAACTCTTCATTTAGAAAAACTGTCTTAACATCCATTTGAAGAACGATAAGACCATAAGAGTCTATCAGGGAAAGCAAAACTCAAATTATAGTCAATCGGACAACCGGTGAATAAATATCAAAGAAATCCTCACCTTCCTTTTGAGTATAACCCTTGGCCACAAGTCTTGCCTTGTACCTCTCGATAGTACCATTAGACCTAAACTTTTTCTTAAACACCCATTTGCACCCTATAGGCTTGCACCCATAAGGTCGATCAACTATTTTTCAAGTTCCATTAGACATAATAGAATTCATCTCACTCCGTACTGTTTTCTTCCATAAGTCAGCATCAGGAGAGGAATATGCCTCTTCAATAGTCATTGGTGTGTCATCTACAAGGTACACAATATAGTCATCACCAAACAACTTTGCAGTCCTTTGTCTCTTACTTTTTTTAATGACTATAGTGCCATCCTCCTCAGGATTTTGTATATAGGGTTCCTCAATTTGTTCTATCGAAGTAAAATTTTCATGCTCATGAGCAATTATAAATTCATGATCAGTCGTGTTAGGTGCATTTTTCATGTAAAATTCATTCTCAAAAAATATAGCGTCTCTAGATTCCATGATTGTATCAACAGCCATCTCAGGAACACTAGAATTTATAATTAAAAATCTATAACCCATGCTGTGAATAGCATAACCAAGAAAAATACAATCAATAGTCTTTGGTCCAAGCTTTTGTTTTTTATTTATTGGCACATTTACCTTTGTCAAACAACCCCAAGTTCGAAGGTAAGAGAGATTTAATCTTTTCTTCTCCCATCCTCGAATGATGTAATTTCTTTGTTCTTTGTGGGCACCCTATTCAGAACATGACATGCTGTCAATATAGTCTCACCCCACCATTTCTTAGATAGTCCCGCAGTCTCTAATATGGCATTAACCAAATCAGTTAGAGTGAGGTTCTTTCTCTCTGCAATCCCATTGGACTGTGGTGAGTATGGTGGCGTCCTCTCATGAATAATTTCATGCACCGCACAGAACTCAGAAAAATCATTTGAGAAATATTCTCCCTCGCGATCGGACCGTAAACGTTTGATTTTCTTCTCAAATTGATTTTCTACCTCAGCTTTATAGACTTTAAAATAATGCAACGCTTCATCTTTAGTTTTCAATAAATACACGTAATAAAATCTAGTACAATCATCTATAAATACAAAAAAGTATCGTTTGCCGCCTTTAGTCAATTCGCCATTCATTTCGCATAAATCAGAATGAACGAGTTCTAATGGTGCCAAGTTTCTCGCCTCAGCAGCCTTATGAGGCTTGCGCGGTTGCTTCGATTGCACACACATCTAGCACTTAGAATCTTTGACTAAGTTAAATTTTAGAATTAAATTCAGATTTGCAAGCTACGTGAGACAGCCAAAATTAATGTGACAAAGTCGTGAATGCCATAACATTGTTCACTACTTTATTACACACATCATCAAGCAGAGATAAGCGGAACAAGCCTCTGCAATCATAACATTTTTCAATAAATGTTCCATGTCTCGACACAACATACTTATTGGACTCAAGCATAATTTTAAAGCCATCGCGACACATTTGAGAACCGCTAACAAGATTCTTTTTGATGAAGAAGAGATGCTGCACGTTCTTTAATAGCACCGTCTTTTCAGACGTAAACTTCAGAACGACCGTACCAACACCGAGAACACGCGCATGCGAACCATTTTCCATCAGCAAGGCTCCAGTCCCGCCGCCCTGATTGGAAGTAAACAAAGAAATATCAGCACACACATGAATATTAGCACCGCTATCCATCAACCATTCAGGTGAAAGACAAACTAAAAGAACAAAAGGTAAAGAATTACCACACCCAAATATTCCTCCTCCAGTCTCGCTAATCACCACGTTTGTTGATTTCTTTTCTTGCTTATATTTGCGGTCTGGGCACACACTTGCCCAATGCTCATCACTCCCGCAAACAAAGCAACATCCATCTTTCTTGTTATTTTTCTTCTTAAACTCAGCAGTTTGCTTAGGCTTTGTATTGTTGTTCTCTTACATGTTCTTCTTGTTTTTATTACGGGATGCAAATGAGTTTTTCTTCTACACCATATTGGCAGCGGAAGACTAGACTCAACTCATTGTCCACGGTTGTCTTTTGCTCTCGCCCTCTCCTCAACATCAAGAGATCCAATAAGCTCAGCCACGTTAAACTTTTGTCTCTTGTGTTTTAGAGAAGTAGCAAAATTCCTCCAAGAAGGTGACAGCTTAGCGATTATACCGTCGGCCATAAACTTGTCGGGCAACAAACATGAAAAATATTCTAGTTCCTTTGCTAGCGTTTGTATCTCATGAGCCTGTTCCACTATAGAATGATTTTCAACTATTTTGTAGTCATACAGCTGCTCCATAAGGTACAACTCACTGTCAGCATCAGAAACTCCAAACTTTGCCTCAAGAGCATCCCATAATTCTTTGCCTGATGTGCAAGATATTTAGTTTTTCTCATACTTACTATGAAGTGCACTAATCACGGCGCCTCAAAACAGGTTATCGGCAGCCAAGAACTTTTGCTCCTCCTCAGGAGTAAATTATTCAGGCTTCCCTTGTGCGGCGTGATAGCAGTTCATAGTAGTCAACCACAACACCATCTTGGCACGCCATATCATGAAATTCTTGCCATCAAAGATATTCAACTTTCAAAGTAGCAGCAAAACCACTGACAAAAAATTACCTAACATTTGGTTTTTAGATTGTTAGATAATTAGGCATTTTTATGGTTAATTTAATCTAGAAATAAAATATCAGCAGGTTCGTGACGACATATATGTGTATGTGTATATCACTAACAAACGCTACAGCATGCAAGGATGACATACGGTAATCAGAGAGTTAAGAGTGTACCCAGCGGAGGGTCCCATGCCGAGGGCATCAGAGGCTCCATTCGCACCAGACATAGTGCGTTGCTCGAAGTCGTGGACCACAGTCGATGCAGGAAGGTATTCGTAGTGTAGTCCCACGAACGGTCACCAGGAAGAAGACACATTGCTGTTCCGCGAGCGATCACCAGGAAGAAGACGTCTGCGACGTGGATGAGCAGTCGCGGAATCACTCCCCAAAAACCTAATCGCCGCACACCCGTGCAAGGTTCGCAGGCAGATGAGGGTTCCAGAGGCACCTGCTCTCCCGTTGCTCCGTGCGCGCAGAGGTACGGGACGGGGAAAACCAAAGGGCGGCTGAGATGTGGTCTCTCGGAAGCAAAGGGGAGATTGGACTGACGGAGGACTTCTACTTTTTGTGCCTACGGTGGGGAGGGAGAAAGCCAGCCGAGGAACTCAGGAGACGGAGACACGAAGAGACGGTAACTGGTGCAATCAACTCGCCTCCACCATAAAAGAGAAACTCCCGTAGTTATGTGGATTAAGTGGCAAAACCTGGCCACGCCTGCCCGTCCGCTCGCCGCCTGCCTGCCTGCCTCGCCCACGCCCACGCCCACCGCCTGTTCGCTTATTGGTTTCAGTCAGGGCTTATCAGCCATTCCTATACATTCAGCTTGTTCGCTTGGTTTCAGTTAGGGCTTATCAGCCAGTCAATAATGTTTTTCTCTCACAACAAACCAGCACCAACCGGGCTTATCAGCCTATAAACCAACCAACGAACATGCCGATTGTGACATTTTGAACAAAGTAAGCATGCTTATATATAGAACCAAGGGTGCTCCTATACACTGCTGGTGCCCTAAAGGTCTGTTTGCACTTTTACCCTGTCCTAACTCACCTCATCTGTATGTGCAAAACAAAGCCTGTTTGGTTGCATCCCTCCACTATTCTAACTTGACTCCACCCATGCAGAGGTATATGGTCTGAATCTGGTTCAATGGAGACCGACTGAAACAAGGTTCACTGCGAAGCATGGCTCGATGGATGCAGGTTATAGAGGATGGACCCAGTGGCAGAGCCAAGATGAGCACCTCGGGGGGCTAATCAATAAAGATTTAGAACAAATGTCGAAGATTAATGGTGAAATCATGTTTTTCTACAGTAAATACAAAGCAAAATCACTCTCACGGGGGGAGCCTCCCTCATGGATCCGTCACTGGATGGACCCACATGTGACACGTTAGCCTCACCTTTTAGATAAGTTATATCTGCTCTGTAAGCAACTAAACATCTCAAATTATTTGCATCATCTCATGCAACCTCACAAAACGTTTTTCTTCTCCTTGTAAATACAGTTCTACCTAGTCCGCGTCCACTCATGTAGATTATTCGAGGCAACTCCTCTCTACCAACCAAACACATACTCAGAGAACACAACCCATCGTGACCATTCCCATCCTATCACCTCACACCGTACCCATATAGAAGAGAAAAGTTCAAAAATTTGGATATTTGTCCTAAACTTGTAATCTCAAGGTATACACACTAATCTAGATCGTATGTGCTCTATCTCAATGCATATACACTAGTCTAGATCGTCCGTGAGTAAAATTCTATTTAGACCCCTAAAAAATGAGAATGACTAGAAAAAATAAAATGGGATCCATTGGATTCTAGAATAAGATTCTAGAAACAAACTATCTACTACTCCCTCCGTCCAGAAAAGAATACAATTCTACCATATTGTCACGTTTTAGAATCTTAAATTTGACTAATTATAGATAAAAAATATTAATATTTATGATATCAAATAAATACTATTAGATTAATTACAAATGTACTTCCATAATAAGTTAATATAGAGTCATAAATACGAATAGTATTTACTAAAAACTTGGTTAAACGTGGACTACTTTTGCCGGTGCGCAACCCGTAGTTGAATTCTTTTGTGGACAGAGGGAGTGCTAGAAGATTTTCACTGTGCAAGGACCAAAGAATGAAAACTTTATTCTCATAAAAAATATACTATGTTTGGTAATCATTTTAGTTTATGTATTCGGCCTGTTCGCTGGTTGGTTTCTGGACTGGTTTGGACTGGCTGGTGCTTGTTTATTGTGACAGGAAAACACTGTTGACTGACTGATTTGGGCTGACTGAAACCAACAAACAAACAAGCTGATTGTTTGAACCAACTAATAAAACTTTTAAAAGCTCTAGGCGATCCAACGAAGTAACTTGTGACAAGGTTTTCATGATTTTCTAGTCTAGGTTACAACAATCCAAATTCATCTTTCTCAGACTTTTACCCAATTGTGAATTTTGCTTAAAGATCGAACTGTCATTAGATAGCCTGTTCGTTTGGTCGTATTTAGCTTATAAGTCATTACTTATCAGTCAACGAATATTATTTTTCTCTTACATCAAACTAGCATAGCTTATAAGTCAAATAAGCCCAAACAAATAGGACGAGAATCTATTAAAACTCAGGAAGACACTCTGGGCGAGAACTGTGAGTTGTGACATCCTTGAATAAACACGTCAGATCTGACGCTGTTCACCACGTGCCTTTCTTTTTATGAAAAAAAGATAAAATACTATTTTGACTAATTTATTATAGAAGAAAAACATTATCTCAATTTAAAAAAAACGAGCCAAAAAAATACGGAGAGCAAAGAGCCTCTGCCGGACCGGACTACCGGAGCGCACCGCACCTCCGTTTCTCTCTCCTCTCCTCGCCAAGTCACAGTCGCCAGTGGCCACAGTCCCCACCTGACTGCCTCCATAAAAAAATCCGAGCTCCAACAAACAACCACCGCAATCTCCATCCCCTTGCCTTCCCCCACACACCATCTCCTTTTCACTGCAGGATTTCTTTCTTTCCCCACAGATATTCCCAAAGAATGTTCTGTGTTGCTCTCCTCCTCGGATTCCTCTTCCCCTCCTCGCCTCCCACTCCAATTATTCCTCTCCCTACTGACTTGCTTTGCTTCTCTGTTATCTCTGTCCTCTCCTCCCACCTCGTGTTTCTTCTTCCTACCAGCGGAGCGCCAGCTGCGCGCTGTGCCTCGTGCCTAGAGGAACGCCCGCCGTAGGCAGAGCTTTCCTGACGGCGGTGCCATGTGCCTGGAGGAGCCGGAGGACGCGGAAAGACTTGGTTTTGGTGACGCAGGGGTCGAGGAGCCCGCTAAGTTTCCCTTGGCTCAGGTTCGTGTCGAATGCTCGGTGCAAAATTAAAGATTCGATTTTGGGTAGTTATTTTGTTGCGTACGCGGATGAAACTTTCGATGTATATCTGTGAATCTGGTATCCCTTTTCTGTCGGTTCGTTTGAGTGATTGATCCTGGTATAAAGGATGGATTCAAAAGGAAACAATGATTGTCTTTGCTTCGAGAACACGCCTCTGTTCATCCATCTGTCTCTTTTTTCCTTGAATTCTGCAAGAATCTAGGCGATTTCGTGTTTAGTTGGCGCTAATGAAGGTGTAGATCAGAAGGTGATTTGAACTGTTCAATAAGGCAAGAGTTAGGTTTCTTGCATTGTACAGTTAATCTTGCATTGTGGCTGGAATGTTCGGTAGCTGTTTCCTGGTGAACGGTGGCAGTTGTTGTTTGCGGCTGGCCCACGCTTTTCATCATTTCTCAAGTTGCTTCGATTTTGTACTGTATACTAAATTTGTCAAACTGTCCGATCATTTGCTTGCTCATTCTGAGGTGCTGTGACAAAGAGGTACAACTAATTTCTGACTATAGTACGTAGCAAACAGGAAATGTCAGGATATTTGAAGGACAGCATATTTTTCCTGTATTTCTGACTGTAGCTGAAATTTCTTCAGAGTAGTACGTACTTGCCAACGGCACATGTACTTGATTTCTCTATCAAGACTGAAATGTAATGAAACAAAACGTGTTTTTTCCGTGCTGATAACAGTCAAGGCATCATTTTCCTGAAGTGGTCCATGTGATTACTACTGACTTTGAAAGGCTTGCTACCCACATCGTGATAGAAACTGCTAGATTTTTCTTCCATGGCTTGTGAGCTACTGTAATTGGATTTTGGGTGTTGCTGTCATGGGTGGATTGTCCTTTTATAGACTGGTAATGTTGATTGCCAGCATTAATTTGTGCCAAGGAATAACCAAATAGTACTGAAGCTTGTAGTTTCAGATGTTTTTTTATCAATTTACGAACTCAGGCTCTGCTTATTGTATCATATTAGCCACTGATGCTCTGCATATCAAGGACAATTATTTCTAATTTTTTTACTGTTCCAACTAAGGTGGAAACTAATTCATTAAAATAGATGAGTTAATGTCTCCTATAGCTTAATGTGATTCTTTCTGACGGTAACTTCTGAATTTGTTTGAGTGCAAGCACCGAAGTAGAATTGATAGCCATTTGGATTTGGGTTTATGATTAATTGAAGTAATGGAGTTTCCTTATATTAGTATGTTCAATGCTACTTGCGCTAACTTGACTTTGTGATTTCATGTAATTTAGATCAGCTTATCTATAGATTCACATTCAGTGCTTCCTGTATTGCATTCTTGTGCACTGATCCTGTTTACATGCAGATGGAGAGAGTTTGCAAAAACACAACTTCTGCTGATTTCAGGCAGAAGTTAAGCAATTTTGTTCCAGTAATCCGATTGGGGGATTGGTCTGATATTGGAGGTCGCCAATACATGGAAGATACTCACGTGTGCATTCCAGACCTTGCTAAGAACTTTGGCTTCCCATCGTTAGATAATGAAGTTGTTTCCTTCTATGGGGTAAACACATGCCATCTTACCCACTTCTATTTTACCTTTCCTACTTTGATAGACCAATCATATTGCCAAACACGCACATCAATAAGCAGTCTATGCTGATGGTAAATTCTGAGTACATCACTAGAATGCCCCATATAAAGAAAAGGACTTAATAACAAATTTGGTCCGCACTGCACCAGGCCACCAGCCTAGCAGTAGAACGTTGAGGTCGCTCATTGAGTCAAGTATATCATATGTGTAGTTCATTGCAATATCAGAAGCTGAAAATAGGCTTATAGTTTTTTTTTTCTCCTTCCAGAAAATGAGTCTGCCTCTTTTGATGTATGCAGTTGTTTTCCTTGGTTAGTTATTTAAGTTCAATGGAACAAATTCGTGTCTTAGTAAACTTATTCTACATATGTACAGCTAGTAATATACAGATCTGTGCTCTCAGATAATTTCATTGAGTTGCACACTTGCTCATCTAGATAACCACGTTATCATTCTGCATGCACGATTCACAAAAACTTGATATTTCTCTTAGGTATCTATTTTCTCCATTTCAATAATCAGGTCTTTGATGGTCACGGTGGAAAAGATGCTGCCCATTTTGTTCGTGATAATTTACCAAGGGTGATTGTGGAAGATTCAGATTTCCCTCTTCAGCTTGAAAGGTTGTGAGGATGTCCTTTATGCAGATTGATTGCCAGTTTGCTGAGGCATGCTCTCTCCATAGAGCAACATCCTCCGGGCACAACTGCACTTACAGCAATGATTTTTGGAAGGTACTTTCGTGTCATAAGTATGATGATCCCCAGCTTTTCATAGTATATTTAAGAGTTCTTTATTAATATCATGAGCTGTATATGTATATAATCGGTTTCCTCAAATCCTTCTTGTTCAATGTCTACCATATGGATTACATAAGAAATATTTTAGTGGACATCTGGTGAAAATGTATCAAGTATCTTTTAGAACTAAAGCTACAGTGTTCAATCATGTCTGTACAATATTTCATCTCATTTCAAGGGCATGTTTGGATACAAGGGCTAATTATTAGCTTAGCAGGAGGGCTAATAGGTTTTCTACTAGTTGTTAGCCAACTAGCTAGCTGGCTCTGGCTAATTTGGGCTAATTTTTAGCCCCAACTAGTAACTAGCCTTAGTGATCCAAACAGGCCCTAAGTTTTGCCTTTTAATGTTGTATAGCGCTAGTACCGTGGCTGTTCAGCAACTGTGCTGTACTAGGTCTAGTCTTCAACGCGTCCTAATCTTTATCGCAACATTTGAATGTTGACTTCTATTTATGCCAAGTAACACAATTCTAAATCAAATTGTAAAAATTATCCAACGTGGGATGGTATGTGCTTACTCTTCTTTTTTGAAAAGTGTGCAAATATTTAGGCAAAGTAGTTAATATTAGGTGAGGTATGGTGAACTGGAAAAGATGATTTGACTTTTAGATACTCACCTGTTCATATATAAATTGAACTGATTGTCGTCAACATAAATCACGGTCGAGTTCCAAAAAAAAACACATAAATCACGGTTTGTTCTCCTTGAGAACCTTCAATCATTATTGCGTCCATTTAATGAGAATTTGGGATTTGGAAGCTTAGAGGCCCATGGTTTAAACTTTAGACCATTGATGGATCCTCATATGTTGGTACAGGTTTGCAGCTTACCCAATATCTGCTACTTTCTTTTAGAATTTTTCAGATTTGTAATCTTGTTTTAGAATTGCCAAGGCACACACCATTTATGATGCGTCACTCTCTAACTTTATACTATATTTATACATTTAAATTTATTTGCACTTGTTATCTGTTGAACTTTTATGGCCAATGCTAAAAATTCGCATGATTCGTGCAGGTCTCTTCTGGTCGCTAATGCTGGTGATTGCAGGGCAGTTCTTTCCCGGTGTGGCACTGCAATTGAAATGTCCATGGACCACAGGCCTTGTAGCCTCAGTGAAAAATTGCGCATAGAATCGCTTGGTGGCTATGTGGATGATGGCTATCTGAGTGGTCTGCTAGGAGTCACTAGAGCGCTTGGTGACTGGCATCTTGAGGGCATGAAAGAAGTTGGCGAGCCAGGAGGTCCCTTGAGTGCTGACCCAGAGCTCAAGATGATCACACTAACAAAGGACGATGAGTTCTTGATAATTGGCAGTGACGGAATCTGGGATGTCTTCTCAAATCAAAACTCCGTGGACTTTGCACGGAAGCGCCTCCAAGAGCACAACGATGTGAAATTATGCTGCAAGGAAATCGTTGAGGAGGCAATAAGGCGAGGGGCCACTGACAACTTAACTGCAGTGTTGGTCTTGTTCCACCCAGAGGCCCCTCCTCAGGTCAAAGTGGACCGTCCTGGTAGGGTGGCATGGAGCATATCAGCTGAAGGGCTCAATAGCCTCAGGATACTCCTGGGAAGGCAGTAACCGAATTCTTGTCACAATTAGACTATGTGTTGCATTGCCGAGTTGTAATTGTATGTAGTCATCTCGGCTCCTCATTGTTGTTAGTTGATACCCATTGCTGCGACACGTTACGATTCTCGTTGGTAATTGAACCAACAAACTTGATATTATTCTTGTTGGTGATTGAACCAACAAATTTGAGCTCCATCTTGTGAGAGATTTTAAGCAGATGAAAGTAAATCTAGCAAAGAAGCTGTGAGTTCCTAGCTCACTGTGTAATGTTTGCCCCCTTTTTGTAAATAAAAATGTCACTGCCTAGCCTTGAAATTGACCTTGCGCCATGTAACAAATGATTCATTGACTGAAATGTGTCAAGACTGGGTCAAATTTCCTGTTCTTCTCACATGATTGTTCACTTGTGTGGTCTCACTCCCATGATACAAAAATTATGAAGCTGAACACAGTTGAGAACAATGTAAGCAAACTGGTTAGGTTGCGCAAACACCGATCGTTGTCGCCTGACTGTTGTTGTCTGTTTGCAACAAGGTCAAAATAATGCCTTTTCGATATGCCAGTAAAATAATCGAATTTACAAGTTCGCTTGTCCTTTATTGGAGGAATGCACGAACAAATATACGCACTCGTGTACATTTCTCTACAGACAAACACACAAGTTTCTAGGCCTCTAGGGGCAGATGTATGTCATACCTGAGACCAGGCAGAGTACTTGCCAAAATTATAATTCTCTTTGGTACTTTCAAGCATGGCATTAGCACCTAATCCAGGGGCCAGTGGCCTAAACAAGGACCATATTTTGGGCAGACATACCTCTGCAAAGTCCGGCACAGAGAACATAAACTATGGCCACATCTTGCATTGGTACTTCAGGTAACCCCTCTGCTGCAGACATGAGTACACCAATCACTGGATGGGGCCAGGGTAGTGTTCCAGAGCAAAGATGTATATATTCATCTCTGAGTCAAATGGTTCAGCTTCAAGCAACAAAGACCATAGCTCTTCAGTCTTCACTATTCCAACTGAGCTTCACTACTGAACTGTTCCAAGATCCTCACACAGAGTCACGGAGATAAGATGAAGAACTCCTTGCCGTTGGTGGTGGTTGTCATTGTTCTGTTCCTGGTGACGGCAAGGGTGCAGGGTATTCGGCTCGATGCAGAGAGCCATGAGGCATTCAACAACCAGATGGTTCATGTCAGTAACTGCTATTCGCAAGCGCATTTCATACACACCGTGCGGTGATTCTTTCCGCAATTCCTAACTGTTGTGCATTCTTTGGTTATTTCAGAAACCTGGGGAGATGGGAGTGAGGTCCACTGACAATGAGCCATCTGGTGGTAAAATGGAGGAAAGCATTTCTGAAGAAAAAGATCGAGTTGGCCACGGTCTGCCAGAGATTCATGTCGATTACTATGGTCCAAGGGGTCATAAGCCTACACACCACTGAGCAAAATTTTCTTCTTCTGTTCAGGTTTTTTTGTCTGTCTATTTTTAGATGAACCCCCTTGAACTAGTGAGCGCGTCACTTGAGCCTGCCTACTTCTTTTATTTTGCTCCCTCTGAAGAGGGGAAGAAAGAAACAGAAACACCACTGATGTACTAACTTCTTGAAGGAAAAATCAATCAAGAAATAGCAAATTCCAGGATTACTAAAGAACTGCAGCTGGGTGTCCAGGTTCCAACTGTGGTATTACTAAGTTCACCAGGGGTAACTACTGTCACTCTCCAAGTGGATTTGGTTCACCAAGGACGTGTTTAGTTTAAGGAATAGGGCTTCTCATTCCTTATATTTTTGTTTGGTTCGAGGAATGAAATCTATTAGTCTGTTGCCACATAATCCCTCACAAGTTAGCTTAATAACGAGAAATGGATTTATCCTGATGCAATGACTCCATGATGGACCATTTCATTCTAGATAAGGTGATTCTTTAGACCAAACACTTCATAAGTTTACTTAGCAGTTTCTTTAAATGCAAAAATATCCCACTTCTATATTGGGGCAAAAAGATAAAAGATACTGGTAGTTTTTGGCCGGCTTTATGGAGCAGAAGAATATGTGTGGCGTCCTGTACTTACTCCAACACTGTATGCGTAGATTCAGTTGATGGTGTCACGTATGGCTGAGCATTGCCGGATATGCTGCAGTGTTCCTCGCCAAAGTACATTCTATTAGTCTTCTTTATGTGTTAATGACGAGACATACTTTTCAAAGCTATTGACTGTAGCTAGTCATTAGCTCTTTGATTGTTGATGCTTGACATGCCAATTAGATGTGTACATAAAACCGGAAGATGAACCCCGTCTCACAAAAAAAAAAGGAAGATGATGAGAACCAAGCGGTTTTTGCAATGAAATTTATCACACATCTCAATCATCCATCTCTTTGTTTCCCCAAGTGGGCACATATCTTGCCAAATGCAACTCATGTTGCAAACAGGGCAAATACACCAAAGAATTCGTACTTCAAAACTTCAAACAATTTTGAAACTTGGCACATACATATAGCTTATATATATATATATATATATATATATATATATATATATATATATACTTTGGCAAAGATTAAAATATATCATGAAAATGACAAAGTTCAGGACAAATGTGGTACATGAAAAAATGGCTTTAAATCTCAACTTTGTAACAAAGTACACTAGATGAACTATGGATGTGCATGGCTAAGTTTCAATTTTTTCGAAGGCCTGGGTCAAATGGTGTATTTGCTCCATCTGCACAAGATATGCACCCTTTATTTCCCATGCCAGGATTGTGTGACCATAGATCGAACATACTACACCATAAGTTGCCTTACTCTAGATTCCATATCATTTCCTACTATTTTTATGCTTTGCACTTTACAAATAAACTAGACATTTGTCACCTTTTGTATTTCACCATACTTTGTAGTCACCATCGAACCAAATATGATCTTCTGCCTTTGCACTGACTAGAGATGTAGTAGCATGTAGCTTATGTTCATATAAACACTAAACGATACTATCATTTGGCCATTCATTTGAGCTAAATGGTCATTTAAATGGGATAATCAGCTGACTAAATGAACATATCTAGCCACAGCGCATATAGCCATTAATTTTACAAACACCCAAATAGTGTGGACACCACGGTTTGAGGCTTAGTGGGGTGGAGTCATACATTGACTTACCACCAATTTGATATCATGGTGTTTCATTCACCAGGGAGGGGCTAAAAGTTAGAGGGTATTGAAATTTGTTACTTTTGTAATAGCAAGGAAACTATTCAACACTTACTTTTACTGTCATGTCACACACTTTATTTGGAGAGTGGTTCAAGTTGCATGTGGTTTAGGATCACCAAGGGACGCTACTTATTTCTTGGGCTTTAGCAACAAGAAGTACATTCAGATTTGCACACTCAAGTTTACGTGGGAGCAAGTGCAATCATTTGGTGTATTTTGTTAAGTTGAAATAGTGTAGCTTTGAATACATAGTGCACACACTTTTGATCCATCCTTCAAAAGGATAATAACAAACCAAGATTGAAGTGTGCATGTTATATGCTGGAAACCCTAACAATGAAGATTTTTCATCAAGTATGGATGATTGTCTTTTAATAGGTTTTGGGCTTAACTTGTTGTTTGAGTTTGCATTTTTTTATCATTTTCTTTGGTCATTTTTTATATCTTACTTTAATTAGCCAAAGGTTGGAACTATATGATGAATGATTAAGTGTATGATTTATGTAGAGACAAAAATGTAGTGACTAGCATGGCCCATATAAGTCAGCACTAGCATGCACTACTACAGATTAACTTATCACTATCGCCACTTTCACTGCCGTAGCGATAGAAGCGATGGTGTGATACTTGCACCGTCGGTTGGAACGATAGCGAGGACTCCTAGGACTAAAACCGGCAGTTCAGACTTCTACCACCGACGGGTTAACGATAGATACGGTAGTGGTATTGGGGTTGCATTTCCTCCATCGCATGAAAAGTTGGGCCGACTGGGATATGCATTTTGCCCTCCGGCCCTAAAGTAGTGTTTGGTCAACCGGCGGTAAATTCGGCGTGAGTGTTGAATTGCCTCAACTTCTAAGGGCGTCAAATCACCGTTACTTCCGTCGCCTGAAGACTAAGAGTCGCGTACCCACTGCTCTACATATACTTTAGGCCCGGTGCCCTCTGAAACGATCCCTCTTGTTCATCCACCATCCCCTTCTCTTCCAATCTACAAAGAAAATGTCTGACAGCCCCATCAAGTTTCCATGCAACCCATCGTCCAGCGATGACGAATTGCCTTCCCACCACTCCTCCGAGGAGAATGTCTCCTCCGACGGGATGTCTAATTATAGTCCTCCGTGGAGCTTCGAGAAGGAGGACTCGGAGGAGGAGGACGAGGATGAGGACGACACCAAAGATGACTCCGACGACTCCACTCTGACTCTAACTTCGCCTCGCCTCCTCCCAAGCGATCGAGAATTAAGTAGTTTATAATTAGTATAAGTAGTTTTAATAGTTTAGGTTAGTTATTATGCTTCCAAACGAGTACAATCATATACTCGTCCAAATTGTATCTATATATTAGATATATATAATCAATTAATGAAAAAAATTCTATTCACGTAGATTTGATCTCTTCAATGCCACCTTTTTTAATGCAATGCAAAGCAAGTTCTCTCCAATACTGCTTCCAAATGCCAGTGCACTGATTTGATCTCTCGTCGAATGTTTTTTAATTTTTTTTGTATATTTGTGAATGAAAAAGGAAAAAACTATCATGTACGGTTGCGGTTGTTTCTAGGAGCATCTAAAAGCAGTTTAACTACTGACAATCACCGTATTATAGCGTTGGATTAGCGTGGCAATGGTTGACTTAATACGGACACTATTTAACTTATCATGTGCCATCCGTTCTCGCTGCCGATCAATCTGGACCGTCCGTTTGGCAATAAACCTAGAAGCGCCCGACCCATTCCCAACTCCCCACGGTCGGCGCCTTGGCGGCAGTTCGACCAACTAAAAAACCCCAATACGAATTAGTTCTTCCCACCTGTTGTTGCTTTATCTTCATTCTCCCCACCTGTTGCTTCATCTTCATTTTGAACCGCCGCCTGTACTTGCCATGCCTTGAGCACCTTACATTGTCGTTGTGGACAACGCCCCGTGAAGGTTAGATGGATTTGGTCACCCCCCTATTTGCATTTGATTCCAATTGGTTTTGAGTTCGATATCAGTTTTGTTCATATTAGAAATTTCTTTATTGCAACAGATGTCTTACTTTGAAAGAAGCCATTTCAATGTGAGCAACCTTGTGTTTTGGTGGCTAGGGGTGCCACCAGGACCCTAGATAATGTTGTTTGCTACTTGGGGACGGAGCATTCACCCGGACCTACTGTTGATTATTGAAGCCGTTGTTCATCACCTTTTTGGACCATAAAATTTAACAAGAATCGTTCAATACCCTGTTTGTGGAGAGATTTTTGTGCTTTGCAGGACTGGACAAGTAGACATACTTTATAGATACAATGTGTCCGTCGATGGAGATGCTGTCATCTTCGCTATGGTTCACTACCTCTAGCTTTTGGGACCGCATCAACCAATTAAGTACCTTAGCAACTGCCTACCCATCCGACATTAAGTCTTAGAATTTGTGAAACTTTTATGTTAATGAAGTTTATATGTACTGATGAAACCTCTGAATTAGTATGTATGAGTACTGCATAATCGTTGAACTATTACTTCGGTTGAACTGTTAATTAAATCAGTTAGTCTTAATTGTGATCCACGTGTACACCTCTATGTAAGCACAGAGGATCCAAAACAGGCCTTCTTCTACAAGCGGATAGTACCCCGAACCGGCGATGACACAACATTTCATCTTGGCGGGAGTGCGAGGGTTTTAAAGCACATTTTGGCGCCTTGGCGGGAGGTAAAAGCATAGACACAACATTTCAAGTTGGATTCCTTTCAATCCGAGAGTACTGGCATTGTGTTTTCCTTATGTTTTCTAAGTGCGTATTTTGGCCTTCGCATCAATATAAATCTGTGCCTTATTATACACCATCAAACTCAAGTTGGCTTCCTTTCAATCTGAGTACTGGAATTGCGCTTTTCTTAGTTTTCTAAGTGCGGGATTGTGTGCCTTAGTGTTCATCACCATATCATACGGAGGTCTTCGGGTGGTAATAGGACCTAGCCGCCGGTGATGGTACTGTTTATTCACCGCCGCTTAGTTGCAAAATTTTTAATCCTGCGTTTGAACCCTCCCGCGCGGAACTGTTGAAAGTTCGATTCCCATGTGCCATAAAAGTTACGCAGAGAGCAAGCAACCTATTCCAACATCCCCCTAACCCCCCTGCAACCCACCCTGCCACTGCCCTCCCTCCCCCCACACATAGCTTTTCTTTTCCTCATTGTTGTTGTTCATCATCGTCGCTCCTACTCATCATCACTGCTCAGCCCTT